GGGGCAAAAGTCTGGAAGCCGAATTTGCAGTGTTGTAAATTAAGAAAATACCGACGATTTTGATTCCAAATTTGTGCTTCATAATGCTGCGATCATCCTCTACAAATCACACCTTACCTAGCTAGAAATGCTTGCCATATTTTTTACAAGAACTGGATTTATTAAACAAGTGCTTCTGTAGGGCGAGAAAATCAGAGTTTCTAGTACTCATAATTTATTTCGTAGCTGAAGATACAGTGAATATCCTACAACGATTTGATGCATATGATGTAGAGGAGGCTTTGCGCTATCAGATCATGGTGTTGCGTTTGTTAGAAACTCGCTTTCCTAAACGCGAAATAAAAATTTGCGGATATTATCTGCGTGCCAGGGCTAATTCATCTTCAAAAATAAATTTGAAAGCTATAGGAGCGCAACAGGTACTGAACTCAAGCTATATGCTCTCCATGAGTCTTCTGTATGAGCATCTATTTGAATTCTATCAACATTCTATCAATCATACTTTGAAAAGTGTTGAAACAGTTTCAACGCTTTTCAAAGTATGATTTTTCGCTCCCGTTCGCGCAGTCGCATCCAATTTCTAGTAAGCGAGTACATTTTCCTTTGTTCAAAATTCCAAAACCTTTTTCCTAAACATTGCAAAATAATTTTGTCGTAATATGTTGTAGCCAAAAGCTCGCTCTATCATACTGCACACTCGCCTAATAAAAGAAGCAGTCATCGTGAAGGCGTGGGACAAATTTTTCCACTGCGTGCCACGACAGGCGAACTCGCCAAGATTTCGAAGAGCTGCTTTGAAACCAAACAGGCAATCTCAAAATTTGAAAGCTGCGCTGAATTTGTGAAGGTTCGATTTACGTGTGCACCCATCTTTTCGTTCCTAGGTACTTTCCTTCTGATTTTATGTGGAAAAGTACTAGGCTCCCAGACTTTTGCCCCACCCTGTAGTTGTCTCTCTATGACTCATTCCCAGCACTGTTTGGATGTAGTTTCAGACAGTGCTCAGGCTTTGTAGGTAGTAGTCGTTAAAGTGTACTAAGCAAATGGTAAAGATTCCTAAAGCTTTATTCACACCCAGAGTAACTCATAACAAAGTGCGAGTACTTGATGGATGTGTTGCATAAGGAGAGAATGCCATATACATTTACTACTCCATGAGTACGGGGTTGGGGGAACGTTTTTGAACAATTTTTGATGTCATTGTATGTTCGGATTTGCCATATACAGGGTGTCCGTAAAGTATGTATACACTGTTTGATCGTTAATATCTTTCTTCCCAACAAGTCTTCTGCCTTATTCCAGGTACCGTTTTGTAGAGCTGGCTTCAACTCAGATTTACAGTATGGAGCGAATCACCGCTCTTCATTACTGTATGATTACGGTAGAAACTTGTAACACATGGTGTCAATATGGAGAAAGTTGCCGTGTCAAAATTTTTTTTAAAGAATATGAAAACTTGTGTAACTTACCCGGCATAACTCTTCAATGAAGCATCATAATAAGTTGGGAACTTTACAGTTAGAATCAACAACTCTAATTAGCCTAGTGTAAAAGCTTTCAGATTGTTTTGTTTCCTTTCTAAGGCAAAATATGGCCTTTCATGGCTCAAAACCCTCCTTGAAATTTCTACCGTAATCCTACAGTAACGGAGAAAGATGGACGACTCTTTCTATACTAAGCTGAAGCCAGCTCTACAAAACGGTACCTGGAATAAGGCAAAAGACTGTTGGGAAGAAAGAAATTAAGGATCAAACAGTGTATACATACTTTACGGACACCCTGTATCATACCTTCGATAGTCTAGAGACAGGGCGCCAAAAGTGAAGGTTGTTTGAACATCTGACGTCATAAATAGTGAAGGTTGTTTGAAGAAGATCAGAGAATAGAAAATGACGAAATGTGAAACAAAAATGTGAAACAGATATAAAAGGCAAAAAAACCGCCGTAAACCGGATAAAAACGCTGCAATAAGTTTTGAAATCTTTCCTTTGGCGGTTTTTCAGAGTGCAAGTTTTCGCTCCAGGACCAAAAATTCGCAACGGGGTTTTGGTTTTTGATGCGTCCTTTGAATTTTTACCCCCCGCATTGACGTTCCTGTTTCTGGGACGTTGTCTGGATTGTTGCGCTTATTGTTCTGAGCAACAATCGCCCAAGCTGGAAAAAATTGCTGCGAAAGCACTGAAACAGAACAAGGTAAAGAAAAACGCACTTTTTACGCTTTTCGCAAAAAATTCCACCATAATCGAAGAGGTAAGCGGGTGGTTGTCAGCATTATGAACAGAAGCAAGATCTATAGAATGCACGAAAAAACCGCGTGAAAAGAGTTAAACTAGGAGAAAAACAAGAAATTTTCGAAAACAAGGTTTTTACCGGATTTCCCGATCAAATCAAAAAATGTGGTTCTGAGACGTTGTCAGCGTAAATATAGAGATCAAGAGCTTCAAAATGATATATAGCTTGCAACGTTTGGGTTCGAAACAGCGAAGAAAAGGGTACCAGAGCCAAATGCCCCGCGCCCCGCGTTTGGGGTAGCGAGGTAGCGCGCAGCACGCGGAGACGCAGACGAGCAGCGGAGACAGACCAGAGCCGACGGGGCATTTGGCTCTGGTCGTTGATCTCAACGGGGTCTCAACGAAACCCTGCAACATTATATATCATTCTGATCGTCATGACACGACGAGGAGAACTGACAACGTCCCAAGCTTTGAAAATTACTCATTAACGAGATAGACCAGCGTATTGATGCGCGAATCTCTGCGCAAGAATTAAGCGCATTTTCTCGTTTTTGTTCAACTCCAATAGCTTCCTAAACTTTTGAAACTCTATTTTGGTCAAATAAGAGGTTAGCTGAGAAATTTTGTCCTGAATTCTGGCGAAAATTCCACAGAAACCTTCTTGTTAACTTATAAAGGGCTATGAAAACGCAAATTTTCGGTTTCGCTGAAGTAAGCTAGAGATATTATCCCCTATATTTGCTTCATTAACATACGTTCCGATATAGTTGGGATAATAACATCCAAGGCGAAGCCCCGGATGGCTTCTGTTTTTTTCCAGGTGAAGGTTGTGTCCCCTCATAGCCCTCAAAGTGAAGGTTACCTATGTATTTGCTTTTTATATTCCTAGTTACAAGCCCTCTAAAAGCTGGACTAGCTTCATTCCTGTCGAAGACATGCCTTTTGGAGTGGAGCGAACGTTGGTGGCGAAGATGCACGAGAGGATGGCTAACCAGCAGATTGCGCGGGTTCCCCAAATTTTACAAATCAGCGTCTTTTCAACCTTGCGTCGTTTCCAGGATATTAACAGCAGCCGGAACTTACTGCGGATACTCACAAAAACCTGAAGATCTTCGCCAGCGCCATCGTCGCAATACTCGGCGAAGCTTGATTGAGTTGGCTTCAGAGCTGTCCATCTCTGGTAGAACAGTCTCCGATATCGTGAAACGAGGCGCTATGGGATCAAGCTTTCCAAGATGCTAAAAATTCATGCTTGGGAAGACACGAAGTTGAATTGACTGCGCGGATGTCATTGAATGCTTGAACGTCTGTCCAAGCACGCCACTAAACGATACTCTTTTCTGACGTCAAAATTTTCACAGTGAAGCAGGTTTTTGATCGCCAAAACAACAGAGTCATCACCTAACGCTTCAAGAAGCCAATAGCAAGGGTTGACTCGCAGAAGGAAAGCTTAATCCGGTTTTTGTGACAATTTGCGCGGCAATAGTTTCCGACAGTAAGACGCCGCTGATTTTTAAAATCTCAATGCTCAAGGTGGACACTACTACGCGTGTAAATAGCATCCTGAAGAAGGGATTGTTGGTCTGGACCAACACCCATTCGCCGGGGGCGATTGCTGCTCACAGCACGATAGCGCACCTGTCTAAGTGAAGGTTGTTCAAGCATGGCTCCAAAGCAACGTTAAGGACTTCATTACTCCTGTGGTGGCCTCCGTTGGCCGGATCTGAATACCGCAAGTGGTCAGTTCTTTAGGCCAAAGCCTGCGCTCACTCACGCAAAACTGTGGAGTCTCTGCGACGTGCTCTTCAGGATACGTGGGAGGAAGTCGACGTGGAGCACCTCCGTGCTACAATGGACAGCATTCCCAAGCGATTCCGAGCTTGTATTCGCGTCAAAGGAGAAATCTTCGAATTGTAAAGTGAATTTTATGTAGCAGACAGTTGAGTAAACATTATCTATTCATGTGATCATCTTGCCTAGCTTCGTCATTGCGATATAAATACCGTGAAGGACTTTTCCCCAACCCTGTATTGAGTTGTTTGGCAAATGACTGTTAATTGAGTATATATCTCTTCTCTCATTATTGCTGAGTTGCTGCAACCCACTATTTATGTGACTTTAGTACAGCGACTCCTTTGACTCCTTAATAAGTGCAAACTCCTTTTGGGTGATTAACCAAGTATGGTTCCGGCGATCTCACTTATATCTTGAGTTTTTCAGAAGAGAACTCTAGAGAGATAGGTGCGTCTAGGCTCTTCAAAGAATGTGATAGGATACTTAATCTGCACTGAGACTCGGCATAAATTTGGCTAGCCCATTGCATCCCACGTTTTGACAGCTATCACTAAAATCAGAACATGACTCTTAAGATTGTTATGGAACAATGAATACTGTTAATTCGTGCAATCATGCAGGTGTGTTGAAGATAAAGGTGAATATAAAACGCTTTCATTCCAACAATTTGACATCTAAAAGGTAGCGTTTGTACGACCTCTTATACCACTGTCGGGTCCTCAGAATACAATCGTGTAGGATATATACAATACAAATTAGCATGTGCCGCTGACATCTGCAAAGAGCCGCAAAGTGTGAAGGGAGTGTTCACATGCATGTCTCATTTCTGTTCATAATTTCATGTATTGTTGAGGATATCAAATTGTTACCAATTTTACACCCCAGAGTCGGCTTTATACAAAATTATTCAGTACATCTTTCTCGCGTGGATCCATAGCTGATTACACTAACATGTATAAATTATTTATTTGACTAGATCATGCTAAAAAATGATGACCCGTAAAGACGAAAGGTAGATAGGAATTCATCGACTAGCTGGAGATAGCGATAATCCTCTGACGTAGTCTTCCCTAAAACTACAAGTTCAAGTGTGATCTGAAAAAACAACGTATGAAGTTCGTAATCGCAATTTTTTATGCCAAAGTTGCAACATATAACCTGGCCTAGTATGTGCAAATGCACAACATCCGCTTTGCGCGTACAATGTTCCTGGCCACGGACATCAGCTTCTCCAGACAGATACTTAGTCTAACCTTTTTGTTATTCTTTTTAGTAGATCACAATTCTTTGATGAAAATTTCCTAGCGCACACGCAAAATGGCCGACAAGATTCAAGGTTTCAGGCGAAATGTGGACGTTGTGTGCATTTACACGTACTATTTATATAGGTTTCGAAATGACGTTACTGCAATGGTTGCGTAACTACTGATTGGTAAATATAATATCTCTATAAAATTAAATATCTCGCACCCACCTATAAAATCTGGAAATCATCTTCATTAGACTGTACAAAATGCCAATCCTCCAAAGGCAGAAGCAGCTTCTGACAGCTTGGCAACGGGGTCTTACACTGATGTTGATCCTTACGCCACCTGCAACTTCCCAGTTTTTACAAGTTATTCGAAGTCTGGCAAAAATAAAACGTACGATTTCAAGCACATGCCGAGCGCTCTTTGAGTCTCGAAGTGAAAATCGGCTCCATTGGGAAAGACCGTGCAAGCTTTGTAGCTAAGGAACTCTTGAAAAGTATCGAGATCAGCCTTCGATGAGAGTAAGTCAACCCTTTGAGGGTTTTCACCACCGACATGGTTGTATCGATGATGCAGAAGAACAGCGTCTTCTACTGGTACCTGAAAAAGCTCGGAATGAGAAGTTGACTATGCAAATTCTTGTATTAAGTTGTAACAGAATTAATGCGGTTTTCCAAATTTTGAGTTTGATTACTATAACTTTTTGCAGAAATAGTCAATCCGTTTCCAATGAAAATTACTGCAAACGGCAGACCTTTGGCAGTTTAACACGCACTACCTTATCGTTGTAGCTTTACTGAGAAAAATTTCAAAGCCTGAAGACTGCTAAAAGTTTTCTTGAGAAACCTTCAGTGTGAGAGACCATAACTCACTACACAATGTAGTAGAATGGTACAAAATTCATTCACTTGCAGATAATACTCGATCGTGCAGCAGCGTTAGAGTTGATTTTCATAAAAAAATTTTTGCTGGAAAATATTGCTAAAAAGCTGATTCTTCACAAGTGCTCTCAAAAGACGACAAGGTGCTTTTTTGCTTTTTTTCAAATTTTCTTGCCGCCGAAGAGAATAACAGCTCCCGGTTTTTTGCTGTCATGGTCCTATGTCCATTCTTTCTGCATACGGCGAAAGCTCCGCAATTGCTTCATATTTAGGATTTTTATACTCCGCAACACAGGTGCGATAAGGTGAGAATGACTCCTCCAGGGTGAAGGGGGTCACAGTGGTCGCAGTCCCTCCGGGGTGAAGGGTGTTTCAGTTGATCGAGAAATCATAAAATGGCCGACCGGGGGGGGGGGAGGAGAAGGTGATGGTGTTTTCTTATTTTCCAAATTAAAGTTTATCATATTGAATTCTCTGCGATCATTGGTTGTCTTTTTACCAAAATGTGAAAACTGATAGAATTGGAACAACCCTATATGTTTTTAAAAATACCATAGAAGATGTGTTTGCGAGAACATCTGTTTCGGAAAAGAGGTACAATTTTTAAGCATTTACGAATTTTTAGAAGAAATTCGTAACTTCTGTAGATGAACAGCAACGTCAGCAATAAAAAGGTTTTTACAACTATCTTGTCTTCCGCTTTCAGAGAACATATAGCTTGCCTGAAGTCTATTGAAAAAGTGTCTGGTGAAGAGTGTGGGTAGTGATTTCTAGATATTTACGAGTTTTTAGGTTAGAAAAATCCGTAACTTCTGTAGATGAACATCTTATAAAGGATGATGGTAACCTTTGGAACCGTCTCATCCTCCGCTTTTAGAAAATATATACTTTGCCTGGGGTCCGATGAAAAAAGTGCCTCTGTGAAGGGTGTCCTAGTGATTGCTGGAGATTTTCAAGTTTTTAACATAAAAAAATTCATAACTTCTGAAGACGAACATCTTGTATGCCGAGATGGTCACCATTAGAAGCGCCTCGTCCTCCGCTTTCAGAAAATATATACTTTGCCTGGGGTCCGTCAGAAAAAGTGCCGGGTGAAGGGTGGGTGAGACTTTTATACTGGGAGTGCTCAAGTACAGGCTTTTTTACCATTGTAAAAAGACGTCTACTTGAGCACTCCCATTATAAAAGTCTCACCCACCCTTCACCCGGCACTTTTTCGAAGTAACCCAGGCAAAGTATATATTTTCTAAAAGCGGAGGACGAGGCGCTTCTAATGGTGACCATCACGGCATACAAGATGTTCCTCTACAGAAGTTATGAATTTTTTATTTTATAAACTCAAAAATCTCCAAAAATCACTAGGACACCCTTCACCCAGGCACTTTTTTCAACGGACCCCAAACATATCATATATTTTCTGAAGGCGGAGGATGAGACGGTTCCAACGGCGACCATATCGGCGCACAATATGTTCATCAGCAGAAGTTATTATTTTTTTATGTCAAAAAATCGAAAATCCTCAAAAATCACTAGGCAAACCGTTCACTGCAATTTCTTGAATGGATATCAAACGTTCTATATATTTTCTGAAGCGGAGGACGGAACGGTTCCAGTGGTGACCATCAAGGCGTACAAGATGTTCAACTACAGAAGTTATGAAATTTTTTATGTTAAAAACTCGAAAATCTCCAGAAATCATTACTCACACCCGTCACCAAGCCCTTTTTTCAACAGACTCCTCCTTTCCTATACATAAACAATTCACGTACAAATGTCTTCTTTGCTCAACCTTACCTCACCTTTGATTATTTTTCTCGGCTTTTGGTGAAGGAGGTCATCTTGTTCCCGGCTCAGGGGTGAAGGGAGGGTGAGAAAATTCTCACACTATCGCACCTGTGCTCCGCAAAATGATAGCAGCGGTTGTTTCGGTTTGAAACAAAATTACTAAGCCTGGACACTTTCGAGAAATTTGCTTCAATGTGCATTTTGTAGCACAGATCACACACAAACATTACGCCAATTTGCAAAAATTTCGATTTTTTGCGGTTTTAGAGCAAAGATTGTAAAACTAGAAAATTTTAAGGTTAAATCTCTTCATTTCAAAAGCACGTAACTTCGAAATGAAAATAGCTCTCCTGAAACGAAAGCGTGCCTTAGAAACTAGAAGAAAAATGCTTTCAGAAGGTACACATAGTTTCCTGAGACAATGGAATTTTGTTTTGAAGGAACACTTTGAAAAAGAAGTGTGAAACCTGCATTAATTCTGTTACAACCTAGTATATGTAGTTTTTGTAAAGAAAAACGTAGTAGAATAACTATACAATAAAATCATGTAATGGAGGTTCAAAATTTACAAAAAATGTCACTAGCAGTGGCGGGCGGAGGAGCATTGAAATTTGAAGTAGCTTATATGAGCTGTACAGTTAGCTAATCCACTTATAAATAATCAATATCAGTGGAAAATTTTAGTCACTCTTTCGCAATCCCTAGAAATTATGGCTTGGGTGTATGTCTAGAGGCGCGATTTTTATTGCCAGATAGATATCAAATATCAGATAGTAAGTATAACATCCTAACGTTTATAACGTTCTAAAAGTATTCAAACTTCAAAAAGAATTCTATTAGATAGTTGTATGGGCTACTCAACCTTGCTACCTTGAAATCGGTTCAAAACAGCAATTTTGAAGGTCAGAAACCCAAAAATGCAGTTAAGAACAAATTCGTAAATATTTCGGTCCGTGTTCCAGCAAAAACCACCAAACTTAGCAAGTGGTAACCTCAGACAGATACTAAGCCAATGCACTTTATCTGGTACTTTTCGAAGACTCGCATAGCACTGAAATGGAGTTTTGAGGTAGTAAGAACCTCCCAAGAAATCTGTCAATTCCGTATTTGAAGGAAGTCTCACTGGCTTTACCGTAACCGTTGTGTCTATTCAAAAATTGATTGGCCGAAATAAAAATTCAGCATGTGGAGACCTTCTCACTTGATTAAGACATCTGTGCCGTGCAGTGAGATGACGGTTTTAAGATCCTCATTGAGAAGTACTGCTCAAGAATTCATAAAGAAATCGGAAAGACTATTTTTTTCGAAGTTCTTACAGAGACATTTGATAGACTAGTTAAGGACGGAAATATAACATTAGTCAAAGCCAGACTTTCGAGATTAAGCCCTACTTAGGCACTTCAGATACAGTTGGTGAAGACTCGTACACAAAGATGTAAATCATGATTTCGCCTACTGATTTCATCGCTCATAGCGCATACCTTGAATGTGGTTACATGCGACTTGTAAATCCTCACATCATGTGTCGACAATAAATCCACAGTTTCTGTTCGAAATATGACCTTAACAATTGTGTTTCTACTTTTCTCGTATTTCTTCGAGTAACTAGCTACCTTAGGTGGACCCTGCAGCTTGAATTCAGTGGCATTCCTTATACCAGAGAAGTCTAGCTTCTCGAACGTGAAGTTCTGTCCCGCCATAGGTGGTTCGAAGATGAGGCTACGATGTGAGAACGACAGTGCACCCGCAGATGGATGGTCCAGAAATAGATTCCTTACTAACGTCAAGAGTGAGCCACTTCTGAAACAAAATATCATGTAAGAAAGATAGGAGAGAGAAAATAAAAAATGAAAGGCACCTAGGAAAAATGACCTCATCGATATCGATGACAGCTCCAAATTCGGTGTCAATACGCAAGACACAGTCGTTCTGAGCCAATGAGTGGGCGAGGCGGTAGAGTGAGAGATTTGGATCAGAGAATGCATCTCGAGGCAGTGATGGCCATCGAACAATAGTGACAAAACCCTGAAAAGTGAATCCCCTTCTAGTCGTTCTTCTTACGCTTAAGAGAATTGGTAAGGTACGCTGCAGCAATTTTGAAATTTTAGCAACTGTTCTAAATCGCTAGATTCTCAGCAACTCAGTGTTCTCAGTCTCTTTTGAGAACTGATTTTAAAAAAGTTATAGCATTGCGACGGTTTTGCGAGGCTAAATATGTCGCGACGGAAATATTTGTCGCAATCCGTTTTTTTCCCAAGAGTTAGTAGCTCATTTTCGAGGAAGAGTCCTAGATGAACATTCTACTTCCCACTGCAACGGCTTTGGTTTACGCATAGAAAGCATCGCTTGAATAGCTAGTGGACTTGACGCCCTGTCAAAGAATCCTTTTCTCGTCTGTTTGCACTCTTTACTGTATGGTGGGTGGTCAAGAACGCTAAATCCACGAACGATTTTTCTTTTCAGGAAAAGTGTACTTACGAATCAAGAGAAGGACACGAGAGGGCACAAGAGTTAATTTTTCAAAGTCAAATTTCCTGAAGTTTATATGAGTTGTGAAATTATAAAAGCTATTTTGATTGTGAACTGTACAGGCAGATTAGCGATTTTTTAGGGACAAATTAGACAAAAAAGAAGAGCGTCAAGAAGACGTTTCAAAGCCGTGACTGGCGCTGCTCCCACTTTCAGAAAAGTTCCGAGGTAAAAACATGAGAACTATAGGTTGGTCGGAAGCTCTTGAAGAGCACTTCATGATGTTTGAGAAGTCAATGATGTACAGAATGTGAAAGAGCGCTTTCCGCGGCGCTCCCGAAAGAACTCAACACTTACTTCTACCCAAGTCAAACCCTTAAATTCATGCCTCAAACAATTCCCGCAACTATATTTACAGAAGGGCTTTGCAAATATCGAAAGCAGATTTGGAATCAGTGTTCCATGCTCTATGAGGTAACACATATTTCATGTGAAAACTTCACTTCGACCAAGTATTCTTCCCTTGTGAGATCGTTTGCTTCGCTCTCTCTCCGTCAACTACCGCACCAGTGCAAGTCATTGCCTTTTTCTTCAATCTTGCGGTAAAAGTGATGCGTAATTTCGCGATTCCTCTACAACCATCCATTCACGATATGTCATACCTCTTTTTCGTAATGCCTGAGCACGTCGTATACATGCTCGTTGGACGAATGATAATACACGATAACGTGATTCACACCCTGTGCCTTCCACATCTCCAACGCAAAAATCATCTTCGTCCAGTTTGTGAACCTAAAAAAATTAGAAGACGCAGGAATGGTTAACTTACTACAACTTTGTGGTGTCAACCCACCAATAAACTGGTGGTACACAGAATGTGAGCGTTCCCTTCGTTCTTTGAGGTACTCTTTCCAGAGGCAGCGCGACTTTTTTCCTTGCTCTTGAAAATGTTATCTGAAAGAACTTTACGATCAAGAATTTATAGTCGAGTGGACTTGACTGATATACAAGCGTGTTGTGCCTATTTGATTTCGAATAACTCTTTTGCCTTGAGGTTGTTAGCAAATCGATAGTATTGTTTTAGAAGGCCTCAACTTATAATTAGATACACAGAAAGAATTACCGATCATTTTTTGTTACTGTGGAATCACAGAACTTCAAGCGTTTTGCGCCTTTGTGAATTGATTGCTTCACAAAGGATTTTTAAAAAATCCGATAAGTTGTGGATTGGGGTTAACGCATGTTGATCTACTATGCTGTGCTTAGAATCAAGGCTTTTTTATTAGTGCAATCAAATAGCGACGGGCTTCGAGAAAACTTCTCGTTCTACACCTGGTACGAAAAGTGGGAGCTTTCACTATAAGATTCAAAGTTTGTATTTAGACTCGGCAACTCTAAACAGACTAATGCAAGCGTTTTTGTACGCAGTTCCCTCTCTGAGACATAATATGGCCCCCGATGGCTCAAACGTCTTTTAACACATTAACGACAACGCAAACTTTTGATTGTCTGCATCTTGGGACCAAGACCTTTCACGGACCAGTCAGCATTTTTCAAACAAAATCGCGCCTACTGCCATCTACAGTATACCTACAGGTGGAAGGCTGACAGAAAAGATAGAGGTTATTTCTAGATTCACAGCAAAAGAAAACTTCTGGAATGAGTTTGTACCAAGATAGTCGTCAATTTAACGAAGTTCAAGCCTTGACACACCATGTATGTCAAGCGGCCACACTTGGTAGCCATAGCTTGGCACACCTGGTGTGTCAAGCGGTCGTCAATGTGTTAAACCTCCTTCCATATCCTACAGCAGCAAGAAGAATGAGGCCAAATTTGAATAGTGATATCATAGATCTGCTAAAGATCTCGAGGCAAGGAATTTAAACGCAATCAAATAGTGGACACATGATTTCGGAGTGCACTGAACACCCTATATAGTGCATACGTGGTGCCGACAGCAATCATGCGTAAAAAATGATCGAGAGCTCCATTTTCAGACTGCGCCTCATTTCACTTTCTACGCCCAGGTTTTAGGAGCAACGCGAGATCGCAACAAAAACTAGTCTACGCTTCTCACGACTTCGCTCATCAAAAATATTCTGTTATGTAGTTGTAAAAAAAACTTACGTAGTTATTTTTCACTTCGCCCTCCAATGTTCCATCGAAGACGTACGAATTGTAAAGACAGCCAGGAGCCCATATCCAAGGACATGTCCCTTCGATCGGTTCAGCTCTCAATGCGATCTGCTGTCCATCAACGAACCCATCGATAAATGCATCGGGATCCAAGCAGCGATTGATTGATAAAAGACGAATTTTCGAGTGATTGGAGCTAAACTCATCAGTTTGTATTTGCTTGATTTCGTATCTAGCATGTGTGCTGCGTTTTACCTGCTTTCTATATATGCTCTGTGTAGGAAAAGAGAAAAAGGAGTGATCGAGTCTTCAACTTCAGTTAATATTCGTTCGCTTCTGAAAACATGGTAAGTACTACCGTTCCAATAACTTTAATCTGCTCGTCTAACTTTTATTTGGAGCGTCTTATTTTTCCAGCCCGTTTTTTCGCGAAAAAAAAAACTTCTTGGTAGTGGCTCAAACGTTCACTGTGGATAACTGCATCTGTTCGTAGTTTGAGCAATATGTTACGCTGATAGGAACTCCCAAAAATTTTCATGTAAACTAACTGCAAATTTTTTTGCGATAATTCCATCGCTGCCTACACAAAAATTTTGCTTTGAAACCTGGCACATTAGTGGTAAGTATCAAGCCGGAGATAATTTTGATTAAAAAAAGCAAAGCGAAGATTTTGAAAGACGTTGGCATTCCCCCCCCCTCCCCCTCCCCTGTCCCCACACGGGCATATGCCGAAAGGCGCAAGTTTCTACCGTCGTTATGGCCGCTTCGACATTCATACACCATAAAAACAAGGATTGTTGATTTACGAGCACACTGCGCGAAATATGGGGTTTGCAAAACGATGCCGGCTTGAATAGTTGAAATAGGAGTTCAAGAACGTCAAAATTGATTTCACCACCCATTTATTGGGAATTTCCTAGTTTTTCATCGACTCCATAGGTGTAAACGTGAAAGTTGGTAATTTTAATAGGCATATAAGAAACCTAGGGTTTTATGAAAGTGTGCAAGAGGCCTGTTTTGACGTATACATTCAGAATTATGAAATCTGTTTCAAGAAATATTCTTTATGGGCGTGGTTAAAGGCACCACTCCCCCCCCCTTATTTCGACTCTACTAGCAACTTTACTTAGTTTTATTGTTATCGCGCCAATTCATGGAGCTGATTGCGGATATGAGGTGCAAATTACAGAAGACCCTAAAACTGTCTCCTTCTGCTATTTTGGCAGAAGTGGACAGGTGTTCCGGTCCCACTCATATCGTATGCAACAGAAAACCTCGTTGTATGCAACAATGCCAGATCACACAGTATGCGTCTCAACATTGCTTGTCATGTCAGAACACATCACGGGGCATTCAGCGAGTGGAGCGCAAAAAAGAGGAGGAGCGCAAAAAGGCTTTTCGGATCTGCAGGTCCTTTTTCGTTAGGAGGTAACATCAGGGGAACGGACCAACGTAGTTGAGCTACTTCTAGGGCCTGCTCATGGTTCGTCGCTCCCTACCCACCCACTCAAAGGGTATATCTGGGTCGCCACTGACACCTTTTCTTCAAGCTTACATGACGAACAAGTTACTACTGTTCCGAGTGCGCAAAATTCAAAAATAATTTTTCCTAGTTGTTAAGAAATGGTTTTTTTACAGTGCATGACGATGTGATGCTAAAGATGCTTACATTTATGAGCACCAGACTAGAGCGAGTTTAAGACGCCTACAATTAGGGTGACATGGTTGCGATGATTAGGGACATATCTAATGCCTCGTACCTATTTCACGCAATTTCTCTTGCCACGCGAACAGGCAGTTAGTTTGCCAAACGTGCTTAATATCCAACACTGGATAACTACAAATGCATAGTGTGTACTGCTTTCGCAGCTTTTGAAATGCATCTTGTTGAAATGCATTATCTTCAGTGCATTTGAAATGCGCTTACGACATCGTAAACGTTTGGAGTACCGCCAAATCGCGTCGCAACTAAAATCGGCTAAATTGTGCCCGAGGCCAAATATACACTTTAGCTATCACAGTGGGCCGATACTAAGCGCAAGATAGGGAGAACGTTATGAAAAACACGGAAACTTTGTGTTTATGAAGGACGTAAAAAATTCATTTCAAATTGGGCCTTTGTGTGCGTTTTAGAGAACTCCCAGATACAGTAGCCAAGGTATAAAACTTTCTTTTTCTCCTTGGTACATAGGACCCGAAATAGCAGAAACACCAGACCTCAAGAAAGAAAACGCACTCTTACTGAGCATTTTACAAAAGCTTTGTTTTTTGTAAAATTCGCAAGCTTCGTAAAAGGTCCTTAAAACTTGTAGGTCCAATCCAAAATTTGAGCCCTTGAATTGTATTATTCTTGGTCTGCAAAACGTCTCAAACAAGTTTAGAAGCTGATTTTGCATTATTATCGTGTTTGCAACGATCGATTCTCAGTTTTTTCTGCTTTTAGGTTTCCAAGAATTCGGGAGTATTTATAAACCTAACGCTGCACACCTACTCATGCTTTACGGTAAATAGCATCGTTGTCATCAGTGAAACAACAAGTGAAAATAATGGAACGAAATGGCCTTTTTAAAAAAAGCTGCGCTATTGAAAACAGCTTTGGTGATTGTGAGCGGTCATGGATATCCCCTTAACAGATTGGATATCTCCTTATGCAGATTTTTTCAAATAACTAACAATAATAATAACAATAATGACAACAATAACAATGATAACATTAACTTACATTCTATCCATTCTTCCGGTTGTGCGAGTTGCCAACAAATTCAGGCGATTTGTGTAGTTCAGCATGCAGACTAGGAGAAATAGCAAAACAATTATGAACCCTATGTTCGTTGTGACCATCTGAAATAGGTTAAATTGATAATAAAAAAGTAGCTATAAAAATGCACGAAAGGAAGGATCTGTGAAGGTGTTGCGTAGGAAGATCTTCAATTTTTCTCCTTCTTTAGGCCTTCTGGACTGGGTTTGTACTCTAGAGCTTGCAAAGAAGTCAAAGCTTTTGGTTTTATCCAAAGAAAAGCGCCGAATGGGCGTGGTTGCAGTCCGCCTTTCAATAAGAGCGATTGGCTGGTGAAGTTAATCAGCCAATCGCCTGCGAGATGGAAGGAAAAGGGGCTAACCGATAAAGACGCCCAGTCTGTAGTTTTCACGGTCAAAAAAAGAGACTATTCGAGATCTTTGCGAGCTCTAAAGTATATCTCGCCCGTATGTAACGAAAAACTTAAAGTAGAGGATCTACGTGTGTAATAGCTACAATAGGATAGAAAACAAAAAATTTTCACAATTAATTGGATTTTAGACTTGCTTTGTTACGATTTGTACATAAGTAAACTGTGAAGAATCTGAGCTTTTTAGCTTTCCGAAATGCACCAAAGACCCATTGGTTGATAGTAGGCATGTGTCAAGAAAAAAATTGCCTGAAATGATATAAATGTCAACTCATTTGTCGATTATTATCTGTCCGTAATTACCCATTTTTAGAACGGTGAATTGAGCTTTATAATATCGTTGAGGGTTTTATTCCGCGAAAAACTAGGATAATCAGAATAAAATTACGGAAACCGGAAAATGACACTGTTTTCACAACTTCAGTAATTTAAGCTTGTAAAAGCTTTTCAAAATTTTTTTGGAAGGAACACGGGCACATCGTTTCATAATAAGAACTGGAGCGCTACGCGCTGTACTGGTACTTCTATCATTTGTAGAATCAGTAATACGAGAAAATGATAACCAATCATCTGTATTTTCTGGTTCTTCTAGGCTTTGTGAATTTGACGTGTAAGACGCTTGCGTGGCTGATTAATTACAATGATTACGAAGAAATAATATGAAAGTTGCCACGAAACTAATCGTGCTGTTTTCTGCTCTTCAAATAAAAATACAGGGTGTCCGTAAAGTATGCATACACTGTTTGATCGTTAATATCTTTCTTCCCAACAAGTCTTTTGCCTTGTTTCAGGTACCGTTTTGAGCTGGCTTCAACTTAGACTTGCAGTATAGAACAAATCACCCATCTCTCTTCATTACTGTAGGATACGATAGAAATTTCAAAGAGGGTTCTGAGCTTTGCCTCAGAAAGGAAACAAAACAGCCTGAAAGCTTTTACACTAGGCTAATTAGAGTTGTTGATTCTAATTGTAAAGTTTCCAACTTATTATGATGCTTCATTGAAGAGTTATGCCGGGTAAGAGGTAGCGGCCATTTTTTCAAAGTTCCTAAAAAGTGCGGTTTAGAAAGCTTCGCAATCTTATGAATAGTTGAGCATTGAACTCAACGCCCACAAAAACCCTATTACACAAGTTTTCACATTTTTTTTGAAGAATTTTGAGACGGCAGCTTTTTCCACATTGACACCATATGCTTCAAGTTTCTACCGTAATCCTACAGTAATGAAGAGCGTTCGGTGATTCGTTTTATACTGCAAATCTAAGTTTAAGCCAGCTCTACAAAAGGGTACCTGAAGCAAGGCAAAAGACTTGTTGGGAAGAAAGATATTAACGATTGAACAGTGTATACTTTACGGACACCCTTTATATATTACAATGGAAGAAAAGTACCGAAAATTTGATAACTTTTCTACCTTCTAAATCATCAATTCGCCATTGTAGTTTTTTTTACATAGAAAATTTTACATTATAGATGTTTGAGCGTAATTTTTATGAGCTAGCCATTGAGAACGAAATTCCAAATAGGGCGTTCTCTCGATTTAGTTTGTGCCAGGAAAATGCAAAGTTCTGCTAATCAGCTCTGAAAACTGTAAATTTCTTGCATAATTAGTTCGTCTAACGCTGTGGCAGGCTTCGCACATTCGCAAAAACAAAAGATTTGCGAAAAATGTCTTTTACAGGGAAAAAACCCTAACTACCGCAGTTTCTGCGAAAACACTATTTGTCAAAGTAAAAAAACATCAAGGTGTTCTATGTAAGCACTAGTCCAGATTTTTCAGCCTCCAGTGGTGTTCTGTGCACATTTTGCAGCGATCAGAGACTTTACCCTGTAAAACATATTCTTATACTTTTTGCAATTCTCTAGCTTAAAACTCGAGGTCGCAAATCATTTTCGATGAGTAGATTAGAAGTTCTGCTTGAACATCTGTCATGACATGCAAATATTGTAAATTTTTTAGTTTAAAAGTCTGTGTAGTCAGAATTAAACAAGAACCATTCCAAAGTAATGGATATGAATGAAGTGCTCAGTAAATGTGTATGGTACGCACCTTTTTCAAGCAAATGAGGAACTAGAAGACGAGACAATGGATTATTCTATACTTGGTGTGATGCAATCTTCAGCACGCTTTGAACATTAAGAAACAATTATATGGAAGGTGTGAGTAAGCGACGTGAGTGTAAACATTGTCATAGCTGAGGAATCGGCATGAAGCCACTACCCATTCGGGGAAGTCAGGTTTTTGATAGGCTACAATAAAGCTAATCACAGAAAAAAAAAGGAGTGAAGCACCGCATGCCACGGATGACGGCCAAGTACAAAGACACTAGACACATAATGCCCACTTTTTGGTGGATGCTTTCTGAAAGGAAGCAGTACTCGTTCAGCGAGTTTTCAGCAGTTACTATGGGAGAAGAGCGCCCCCGAACGGCTTTGGACGTCTTACGAGCTTGGCGTTAATGTTCTAAAGCCCTTTAGGCTAGGCTCCTTTAGGCTATTAAGTGAGAGCTTTGAGCGAATTACAGTTTATATAGTATAGGAAAGCCAGCTACGGGAGAAAGGTTCCAGAATGAGCGAAGGCTCCCCCGAGTTAGCAGATAAAAAGTGTCGTTATATAACATTATGTGCAATGAAGGGAGATGACATAGAACAACATAAGAAAGCACAAGTAAACATTATGAGCAATAAAAAAAAGTAATCCATTCTAAGGCACCATTTGATTGGAGTTTTTTTTTTCAGACTCTCCACTACCTGTATACTCCATTTGATTTCTGCCTTTGCCTCATTAGAAGCTATTGCTTGATAGGCAAGGTTACGCTGATCGAAAAAGCTTTTTTGCTCTACAAATTTAGTCTCGGTTTCCATTTCAATTTCTAGCTTCCTAAAGTATTAGCCGGAACCGAAAGTTCGTGTCTTTTTTCAGACTTATCCTTGAATCAAGATTGAAAATAGACAAACATTCCTAGAAATGTTCTATGCAGGATTTCTTCCTCTTTCTAGTATAATACAGGGTGTCTTTGGCTAATTTGGTGGTTTTCTTCTCGGAGCAAAATGTGGCTCAAAATGTCTTAAAATTCTCATCGGAGCTTCTGCCGTAATACTACAGCAATAAGAGCGATCCCTGATTTGCTCTATACTGTAAATACAAGTTAAACCTCGCTCTACACAACGGTATCTAAATTTCGCTGAAAGACATCAAAGCAGGAGATTATTAACGGTCAAATAGCGTGCACATTTTTTGGGATTCCCTGTGTTTTTGCTGAAATTGTAGAGTAAACAAGAGACAATTTATATTTTTTGCGCTTTCTAATTTTGTAAAATTATCATTTTGATGCTACCAAATTTTGATATTTGTTTACTCCAAACCTCGAATATCAGGCGGCACACAGGGTGTCATTCAATGCAGTTTTTTCTTCTCCTCTTTTTGACAGATGCTTTTTCTTCCTGACTCGTAAGGGCCTCGAGGAAAAAATTGCTATAAATCTAATTTTTTGACGCCTCCCAGGCTACACCCGAAGTCAATATTTCGAAGCTTTAGAAACCCATTTGTTTCTAAGAATCGATTTTTGGAAATTACAATTTGCAAAGATTTCATAGTCTTTGAAGCGTTTGTGTTTTTTACGATTTAAAAACACTGAAAAGCCAGCTACCGATGCTAGAAAGTCGGATTTTATAGCGTTTTGTCCCTTCCATCCAACTGTTATCAAAACTTTTTCAGTCTAGAACGAAATTTTAGAAAAATAGTAAAATTTAGGGTAAGTAAAAGTCATGGGTTGAAGATCTTGACGATTTTTCAAGCGAACCTCAAAGGATTCCGAACAAAAACTTTACTGTTAGAAAGAGGAAGAATTTCTGCATAAGACACTTTCAAGAGTGTTTGTCTATCTTTAATCTGAATGATTTGAGAATAGGTTTGAAAAAGGACGAACTTGATCTAACTAATAGAATTCTTCAGAGGGCGATAATGGGGCTTTCCTGGAATTTCTGATTTTTTACAGGTGATGATAATTTTGAAGGAAGTAGAAAAGCTGATACTACCTAAGCCGACTTGCGGTTTTATTTACACCTTAACTAGAATTTTGAATACGCTAGTGGACCTTTAAATGAGTAGTTCAGTCGAGGCGATACAGATGACCACACAGAAACTTTAGTTAATACTTTATTTTGTAGGACTTTTGTCCAGAAGAGGGACATTGTATCAGCTGCTGCTTGAGTTCTGTCCGTTTTGCATTTTCGCGTTCAAAAAATCGTTACTTCTTTAAGAATCAACATTTTTCGATAATTTTAATTTCTGAGGACTGAAGATGCTTGACTGAAGATTTCCATGGCATTCAAAGAGTTTGTAACATTAGAAAGCAAAAAATTGCTTTCTAGTGTTACAAATCCTTTGCATTAAACAAGAAGTTCTCCTAGAACAGTTACTTTATATGCAAGGCAACAAAAATTGAACAGAACTTATGCAGCAAGCTAGTACATCAAAAATCTACTTTATTCTTTGCTGTTGAGCTTTTGCACAGTACCTCCTTTTATCAGAGCAATTTTTGTGAGCCTGGATGGAACGAAAAGTTTCTAGCTCCTTTTGAGGAAAGAAAATCGTAGCCGCTTGAACTGCCAATTTTTAACATCTTGTGGGTAAGAAGTCGCAAGCCAATATTACGGAGAAACGAGGAGAGTGG